CGGCGCGAGAGGCCCGTTTGGCAGAATTTCACGAACGTGTTGAACAACTTTACGGTTTGCTTGAGGATTCGCCAGAGCGCGAGCGCAAGGTTTTTGTATATGGTATATATGTTCTATATGGTTTCGGGGCACTCGGTTTTGAAATCCTTGAACAAACTAAAGTATTTTGAAGTATTCCAGCATGCGCGCGCGACGACGCGCGCGCGTGCACCTCGTCCATTTGTTGCAAAGGGTTGTCGCGACAGCACGCGCGCAGGGGCGCTCGCACGATTTCGACATGCGCGCGCGAAGCCAGTTTGGTAGCACGTTGTGAACAGGTTGAAAACCATATGTCTTTTTGTTTTCAGAGAATTCGCAAGACCGCGCGCGCAGACTGTTCTTGGACATCTTCGTTGGGAAACCATGCATATGTTCAGTATGTTTTGGACACTCGATTTTGAAGTCCTTACGAAACCTACAGCTTTTGTGAACTAACAAAAATGCATGCGCGCGACGCCGCGCGCGTGTGCATGTCGTTACTGTTTGGCCAGCAGTTCTTGAACAAAAAACATAACAAAAAAATGATGTATCCTGATAGAACGAGTGCGCGCATAGAACTGTTCAAGAAGGTGACGGGGGTCGCTATCGTTTGGGCTGGGATGTTACGAATTCATGTTTCGGATGGGCGATGGGGCAGGATCATACGCAAATTGCAATACGAAAGGGGGAGCGTTAATCCTGGCTTCGGGATGGAGGTGGATCCTATCTTTTTGTAAAATGGAGATTATATGTGGTTCAACCATTGTCGTTGCATATGCGTTGTGTACTCTAGGTTGTGAAATTCGTGTCGCGCACAAGGTGCAACCGACATGGTGCAATACATTGTTTCATGGATGTGCGGTTGTCGAATGTCGAGCAATACTTATGGAACCCCAAAGAACTGCAACCCGATGCGATACAATGCGAAATAGCGCGCAGCAGCGCAAAGTAACGCAACGCAGTGCAAAGCAATGCAGAGCAACGCGAAGAAACACAAAGCAACGCCAAGCAATGCAACACAATGTATAGCAACGCAACGCAATGCGAAGCCATGCGAAGCAATACGAAGCAATGCAGGCCCAGACCACGGGCGGCGACGGGCTTGCGACGGCGACGACACTGCCGCCAGACTGACCCCCAGGCCCAGACGACGGGCGGCGACGGGGCGGCGAAGGGGCGGCGACGGCGACGACATATCCGCCACACCGCCCCCCAGGCCCAGACGACGGGTGGCAACGAGGCGATTCTAAAGTGCAAGCACAGGTTTGGGAATCTAAAGGCACGTTTGTTGTCGAGTTCTGAGTTTCCTCATGGTTCCACGGTTTCTGTAAGACACTTCCGTGGGGCTGACATGCTGGTTTCTTATTTTACGTGCGTGCTGTGAGTTACTTACGCCGCACCGCCGGCCCATTGGGAACCCTGAGCACCTCCCTGCTAGGGAGCGTTGTCGTAGAAGCGTATTGGCGCTGTGCGTCCATCTGGGGGATCCACAAATCGAGCTCAAAAGCGGCCCCGTTGTGTCGTTTTGTGGCCCTTTGGGTTTCCTCTTGGGTGCTTGGGGGTGTTTCGGGGCTCTCTTGGACGCATTTGGAAGGTTTTGCTGGCCTTCTGGGGGGCGGATAGATGCCAGGGCCCCTGCGAGTTCCCCCTGTTGGGTTCCTCCTGGGGCCGTCATTGTGGTCTCTTGGGCAGTGTTGGGGACGGTCTTGGTCGTCTCGGGGCCCTCCTGGGCCGTTTTAGGGCCATCTTGGAGGCATGTTGACCTGCATTGCGGCGAGGTTGAGAGCATCATGGAGATCGAGACGCCTCAAGAACGAAAAGGCGCATGTCGAAGAAGTCGAAACATGTTGGAACATCAATAATTACTGCTTGCGTGTTGGGGAGATCTTTGGGGCCCTCTCGGGGGCCCTCTCACGGCGTCTTTGGGGCCTTGTGGGCCGTCTTGAAACTAGCTTGGGCAGTCTTGGGGCCCTTCTGGGAGTTCTCTGAGCTCTGCAGGACCAAAAATCAAGTTAAAACTAATGAAGTCCATCATCGAGAGGACCCCTGGGGCGCCCGGGGGTCTCCAGGGGTTTTCTTTGAGGCATGTTGGGGGTCTTGGGGGCCATCTTGTGAAGGAGGGCCTACAGGGTCCCTTCGAGTTCGCACTCTTGGGCTCCTGGGGGTCCCTTGAGCAGCTTTGGGGGCATGTTGGGCCATCCTGGGGCCCCTGTGGGCCGCTTTGGGGCAGTATTCTGCGCATTTTGGGCTGTCTTGCGGGATCATGAAGGCTTCTTGGGTTGCCTGAGAAACGCTGAAGATCGAAAAGGCGACTGTCAGACATATCAGGATCATGGGGAACATCAAATTATGACATTGGGGGCATCAACGATGTTTGCTTCTTGGGGGGGATATTTGGTGCCCTCGTGGGGGCCCTCTCACTGCGTCGTAGGCCGTCTCGAGGTCAGCTTGGGCAGTCTTGAGGCCTTTCTGTATTTTCTCGGAGCTCTCGTGGGCTGTCTTGGAACCATTTGGCTGAATTTTTACGCGTCAGAGGGTTTTCATAGGCCAAACGAGTCTGTCCGCACCTTCGGGGGAGCGCCGGCACCGAGGAAACCCAAAGGGGTCGGCGAACACCCACCGCGGACCCCTACCCCCCCCTCTCTCCCACCTCCCCCCAGTCTTCTCCATCCTCTCCCCTCGCGCCTCACTCTTCACCCCTTCCTCCCTTCCTCATTTTCTTAATTCCCTCCTTTCTTCTCCCTCTTCCCGAGCATGGTTCCGCCAGCCGCACGACTTAGGGTCTGCCCAACACGACCCGACCGCTCGAGTTAGGGCCCGCCCCGCCCAATTACGGGCTCGCCTGGTCCGACTCGACCCGACCGTTTGGGTTTGCCCGCCCGCTCGCTTGTCTGAGTTCGCCCGCTCCCGCAAGTAGAAGGAATCCCCCCCGAGGCGGTGCGGTCGAGGAAGAGCGCGGGAATCGAGGAACCGCTCGGGATATAACATGTCGAGCGAGAGGCGACCATACCAGAGCGAGCGTACTCAGATGTTGAGCCGTTGTGTACCCCAGCGGGGCAGCCACGCCCGACTCCTATCGGATTTCTGTGAGAATTTGTAGTCGCTGTCCACCTTCTGAGAAGTTGCTGGT